ATATATTAAGATATCGACACCTCGTGAAGATACTGAAAAAAAATTCGAAGATGGCAGTATTGGAATACTTGGAGCAGTTCCAACGAGCCGAGACAAATCGTGGAAGTACCGGAAATCTGCTGGAAGAATAGAGAGAATCTTGTCGGCGGAATTACTATAATCAGCCCGAATACTGAGGAGGGTGCTTGAGTATTGAGGGGTTTGCTGTCGCTCGATCTCTAGTGTAACCCCCGCCCCCATATACATCTGTTGTGAAGATTCAAAGAATATCAACAAAACTCTGCATCAGTTTTCTCGTCGAATTTCGAAAAGTAATAAGGGATAATCTCTTTGAATGAGTTTTATATCCAGGATTTGTCCACACGCTTTATGTTTTTATTTTGCTAATGTTAACCATATATAAGGTCCAAGAGACACTCGAGGTCGAGGGTTACTGAAGGAGTTTGATGTATAAGCGGTAAGAGTTCGAGATAAGAAGCGCAGTTGAGGAAGAGATGCGAGAAAGATGATGGTTAACTCGAGATTTGAACAGGCTGTGATTGTGGTCCTAAAAGCATCCCCTGGGAGTCGGTTCCATAAAGAAACAGTTCGTGGGAACACTTTGATATATGATTACGTATTACGTATTCTTTTTTTATTGTAATCAATAGATTGAAAAGATGTTAACTGAATATGAATTTCTGACTCAAGTGTTGGGAAGAGGAGATATTTAGTAGATAGTGAAGTGTTTCTCCATTACCTTTCATTACGATTTCAAATTCGGAGAACAGCTGACAGACTAAACTCCATTGTATAACTATTAGATCACAAAACACTAGAGTATGAAGAGAAACGATACAGCTGACTCAACAGCAAAGATATGCTCTAGATATAGTCTCAAAGAGAGGTTCAAAGTCCAAAGTCTGCCGAGATTATCTGAAATTTTCAATATGAGACTCTGGTTCGAATCTCACCATAGTCGATTTGTCACGTGATTTCTTGATGTTATCGGGGAGGTGACTCTAGCGTCTGGCACCGTTGGGAAGTAACAGAAAACCATACTACGAGTTGACTCAAGCCATGCGAGTGAAATTAGGTAGAATGAACAGTATGCTTTTGCGAGCACGAAGTTAAAAGTCATCGTGATCGAGTGTTTGAGCGTACTGAAATCAAGAAACTATAGTCCACTCAGCATAATTGCAGTATAAACTACGGTTGGGTCTGTGAGTGTCTACCAATCTGAACAGGCATATACAACAAGGATTGACTAGCCTTCTGGTAGGCAGGTGTGCTGGGAAACGATTAACCAGCCATTATTCAAATCCGAGAACCCGAATTACCAAACACTCCCAGAAACAATGGTTAAAAAAAATAAAAACATATACAAGCTCTTCAAAATTAAGTTCGCCCTAGAAAATAGGAACGCAAATTACAAGAGCCAGGTCAGACCAAAAATGGTGAATACAGTGTAACCCGGATATAAGAGACCCAGATATAAGAGAAACCCGGATATAAGAGAGATTTTCTCTGGACCCAAATTAGAGCCTGTGTTAATGTATATAAAATAGACCAAACCCGGATATAAGAGAAACCCGGATATAAGAGACTTCTTCTCCGGTCCTGACAACTCTCTTATATCCGGGTTACACTGTAATTTCTAGATTTGAGCTGGAGCTACGTATTCCTCGTTTTCCAGAGACGAAACGTTAGCCTCGCGTAATTTTCAATGTAAATGTTCAGTGGAACGACATTCCTGGCTTCCACCAGTGCAGATCTTCATACCTATGAATAACTAGGCCACGGAGACTGAATCGACACATCCGCATTCTTTTCATATTCAATTAATAGAGAGAGATTTCAAACCGGACACTTTCTCCCCAGGAAGTTTTGTTGTTACTTTTGGGTAGGACGATAAACTACATCCGGTAGCAAGATATATGATTGGGAGATTGGCGGTTTTAATGAATGTCGAACCACCTCTTAATTACTGTTGTTTACGTGGTGATAAAATCTGTTAGGGTCTCAGCTATGGGAGAAAAAGTGAAGACGCAAATATCAAAAGACTAGGAAAGTATAAAAATACATTTTTATGATAAAATGTCCAACAATACATTTTTGTGAAAAAATGACAAATGATTTTTATAATAAAATGACCAATAATACATTTTTTTTTATAAAATGACCAACAACACATTTTTATATTGAAATGACCAAAAATACATTTTTATAATAAAATGACCAACAACATATTTTTATATTAAAATGACCAACAATACATTTTTATATTAAAATGACCAACAAGAAATTTTTATTATAAAATGACCGACAATACATTTTTATTATAAAATGACCAACAACACATTTTTATATTAAAATGACAAATAATACATTTTTATAATAAAATGCCCAACCACGTATTTTTATAATAAAATTACTAACAATACATTTTTGTAATAAAATGACGAACACTAAATTTTATCTACAACCTATATATTTATAAAAGACGCGTTTTGCCTAAAAGTATCAAATCATGTACGAAATGTCTATAGTTGAAGGTATAAAATTGCTTTAAAATATTTAGATTTTGACACTAAATAACTCATAGAGATTCATATACCGCTATTTAATTCCCCCTTGAGATTACCAACAATACATTTTATTATCTACATACTAAATATCTAAAAGCATACGTGAAAATATAACACTATGTACAAAATATCTGTAGCTGAAGCCCTCAAAATACAAAATGTTTAGTTTTCGGCATTAAATAACCCATACAGGTTGACATACTGCTCAACAAAGTCAACCAAAAAACAAGAGTTGCATTGTATAAAAGTCAATCAGATGGAAAACGAAATCACCTGTTGAAATATAATATTTTGAAATACACTGCGAAACTTTGTTTTAACCCAATTACGTTGTGGAACGATCTACCACGGGGATATTTTACCCCTTTACACTACAATCTAAACCTCTTCAAATCTAGAGACAATCTGTCCACCACATCATCGTAATCTTTATTGCCTACTTCCTAATGTTTATATCACGTACCTCATCCAGTAACCCTCTATATTGAGTGGCTCTTGGTCCGTGTGAGAGATGAACTACGATAAAAAAAAGAACCTATTGCACAAGGAACAAAGAGATCAGTTAAGAGTAAACGTATATTCCAAGATTTGCATAACACCGAACAAAATTAGTAATCGTGCAGATTTACCAGGTCTGTATCAAAAACCACTAGCCGATCTATTAAGCGTTAAACATCTGACTCGTGCCGAAGAACGACAGTGTAGATGCACATGTATGCAATATGGATTCCTTCTCAGGCATGAGAATTCAACATTAAGTAGGCGGCTCCAGATTACATAAGTATCTTCTTACACTGCAGGCCCAGTTCTCATGATTGAATGTTGGTCCCGGCTTCATTGTGTATTTTCTAATCGCCGTTGGGTCAGCAGGGTGAGTACACCAAGGCAGTAAGAGCGAGAAACTTTCAAAACATAATTCTCTAACGATTTGAAATATTTAAATACTTGAAAATATTATCATGTTTAGTAAAAGAAACATTCGAATAATTAGTATATAATATACAGTTGTGGACTGAATTATTCGTCATCAATGAATATTTGCGTATTTTTCTAAGTAATTGCGAATATTTTCAAGTACTTTATTTACATTATTCTGACTATTGTCCTCATCTTTGAGGCGATATTTATTACAACGTTTCGGCCGTTGTACGCTCCGGCCTTCTTCCGGTTATTGGAATGTCGAACTGAACCCTTTATTTCGCTCACTGGGGTAGACTGTTCTAGTTCCATGTGGCATGTTTAATGGATGTCAGTTATCAGCTATCCCCTGTTAATTGCCCTCTACAAGTTCTGCACCGCCTTAACCAGGTATTGAACGCACATTGTTTGGGTCCTGTCACGAGATCTAACCAATGTCTTTATCCACTGTGCCATGTGTCCTCAAGCAATTATTAATTTATATCTTCTTAATATCTTGTTAATAATTTTTTGGTCAACTAATTTGTTTTATTTGGCCGACGAATTTATATAATCTGAAGAAGTGTCGGTCGAAAGGTACCTTAAATTTTATACGCTGTGATACATTTGTATCTTATTTTATTAATAAATTATGACACCTTTCTTTAAGATAATATATATATATATATATATATATATATGTGTGTGTGTGTGTGTGTGTGTGTGTGTGTGTGTGTGTGTGGATTTACATTATATATATGTAGATTTACATTATTTTATATATATATATATATATATATATATATAGTGTCGATCGAAAGGTATCTTAAATTTTATACGCTGTGATACATTTGTATCTTATTTTATTAATAAATTATGATCCCTTTAAGATAATATATATATATATATATATATATATATATATATATATATAATGTAAATTTATTTAAAATCAGTGGGTGAAAAACCCTGGAGAGCACAATTTTCAAATAAATTGGCATCAGAGGAAAAATGGTAAAAATAAAGCACCAGAAACCTCCGAACAGGGCGAAAGAAAATCGTGTATTAGCTTAAATTTCTGCTACAAAGAAAAAAAATCGCAAGTAAAAACGAAGAGTGCTCAATACTCTCAGCAGAGCAAAAGTAAAATAAATAAATAAATCCTAATGAGCCAGCGGGATCATCAAGGCGAACTTGCTATATATATATATATATATATATATATATATATATTTTTTTTTTTTTTTTTTTTTTCTGTATTTTATTGCTAGCAGCAAGCAGAAATATTTCTCCTCCCGATGATGGCCATTTTGGACGAAACTAGTCCAGGAATCTAAATGAAATAATAATAAAAAAACAACGAAAGAATATTAATCACAACCCCGTGTGTCTGATGATTTTAAATTTTAATATTTTTTTTTGTATTGTTCAAAATATATATATATATATATATATATATATATATATATATATATATATGTGTGTGTGTGTGTGTGTGTGTATTACATAATTTATAATTTTTTCTCTTTATTTTAAATGTTCCATTCTTTTCAAGGTTATAAATATATATGCCAGTTACTGGATGAGCGGTATCAGTCTATCTATCTATCATCTATCTATCTATCTCATCTCATCTCTCTCTCTCTCTCTCTCTCTATCTATCTATCTATGTTTTTACATATGGTGGTCAATGGTACATTCTAGTTACGTCTATTATATTGCAACAGTCACTGGATGGGCGGTAATAGTTATATTTCAAATTATTCTAGGGGATTTGAGGAGAAATAATTGTCGATCCGAATGCAGGTTGGTGGCTATTTTAGTGTTGTTTGTTCACACTTTTTACTTATAATTGCTCACATGTTCGGTCCATGGTATCCTCAGAATCCTTCTGTAGAACCATATTTCTGTTGTTTAAGTCTCTTCATCATCTTTGAGGACATTGTCCAGCATTTGCAACCATACAGGAGGACAATATCATGTAACAGTTCAGTACTATTTTCTTCGTTTCTAACAGTTTTTTCTGTTTTTTAATACCTGATGCTTGGCTTTTATTGACCTCTGTCGAAGCTGTACACATTCATTTAATTCAGTTCAAGTATCTATCTATCTATCTATCTATCTATCTATCTATGACGGCAAATGGTGCAATGTAGTTATGTTTATTATATTGCAACGTCTATTAGATGAACGGTAATATTTATATCTCAAATTATTCTAGGGGTTATTTAGTAGAAATAATTGTGAATCCGAAAGCAGTTTTGTGGCTATTTTATAGTGTTGTTTATTCACACTTTTTACTTATTATTACTTACATGTTCGGTCCATGGTATCCTCAGCATCCTTCTATAGAACCACGTTTCTGTTGCTTCAAGTTTCTTCTTCATTTTTCAGGCTATCCCACATCAGTCACAAGGTCTGAGTCAACCCATTGTATATTTTTCAATCACTTACTGCACGTTAAGAACGCCTCCCCAGATCGATAACATCACCTTGCTGAAAAATGAACCATGGCGAAATTCGGATCCGTGTCCTATGGTCGGGGACAAACTACTCGGCTACGAACCTATAATCTTCTTCTCTTTATGTGCCGGGTCCTTTAAGGACGTAGGCGATCGTGGCTATCCCCTTTCCCCTATCCCTTGTAGCTCTCAGTAAGTTTCGTACATCTGACAACTAACCTAGGTCAAGTTCTGCCATCGACTTCCTTAAGCCTGCCAGGTATGTCATGCGTTGCTTTCTTTTGTCACTTTTTCCCTCTATTCAACCTGTGAGTATCAGATTCTCCAGGCCCTCCTTTCTCATTACGTGTCCCAGAAATTTCATCTGCCGTAAAGGAGATGTCACGTAGCAGTTTAGTACTCTTTTCTTTGTCACCAAAGAAATCCTCCTGTCTCGCAATACTCTACGCAGCTTATGGAATGTATCCTTGGCCAACCCTATACGTCTTCGGATCTCAACGTCGCATCTACCGTCCTCCGTCAGAACACTTCCCCCGATATTTAAACTTCCGCGCATGCTTGATTTTAGTGACCCCGACCTGCCAATCACATTTCGGGCTCATCCTTTTACGGATGAACATTATACAGCGAAATAATCCTAACAGAAAATGTTACAGGATTCCGGCGGACTTCATCTTGATACGTGGGTAACGGTTTATTGAAGGCAGACTCAGAAGAAAAAAAACTAAAAGAATTCTTTAAAGACTACACAGAAAATACTGCGGAATTGTTTTTGTAATATCATTCTTCCTACATGACAGTGAATGGTGGAGAATCTTCTCACAGATGAAACAGATGCTGAAAGCAACAGAAATGTCATTCTAGAGAAGCTGCTCAGAATACCACGACGAAAATATTATTTAGAAATCGAAAACAAAAACAGTTATTCTTAACATCAAGAAGAGGCTTTATAAATTTCAAGGACACATAATGAGGAAAGATGGTTTGGAAAATGTGATACTCACAGGACAGATTGAAGGCAACAGAGACGGGAAATCAACGCATAAAGTACATAGCAAGCTTGAGTAAATAGATGGCGCAGCAGTCTTAGGAGAGATAACGAAAAGACAAAATTTATTAATCTCTATCTATTTCTATCCATATTTATCTATCTCTATCTATAAAAGGCAGGATGTGTGTGCGTGTGTGTGTGTGTGTGTGTGTGTGTGTGTGTGTGTGTGTGTGTGTAACGAATGCACGGCCGCAATTTTCGACGGATTTGCACCAAAATTTACATGCACATACTCCAAGTTAGCGGGAAGGCCAAGACTGACTTTGCATTTCCCAACTCCCATCGATAGTGGAAATAATTGATATTTTCATGCTTCTATGGCAGTTTTCATGTAGTTTGCCGCCATTTTGTACTGGCTAGAGTGAGAGCCAATAGCTGGCTGCCACGAATAGGCAGGAAGATTCTATTGGCCAGCGTGAGAGCCAACAGCTGACTGACACGAATGTTAACTAGCATGCTAGCATGTAAAAAAATCGATAGCCGCATTCGCCACAAGTGGGAAAAATTTAAATCTGCATGGCACTTTACTCCAATTGGCTCATTCGCTTGCTTAAACTCAACGTTGATTCTGATTCCGCAGAACTGGGTTTGGTGTGAAAAAGTATTTGTAGTTAAAATTCTTTTTTCATTCGGTTTTTCCAGTTACGAGTCCTTTTTTAAAGCTGGTCGTTTTGTGTTCATTTTGTTTAGTTCTTTTTTTGTAACAGATTTAATGTTTAGTATAGAGCTTAGAAAAAAATTCGCAGTGTGAGATAGGCAAGAAGTAAGGCATGTAGCAACATCAGCACGGCAAAGGTCACTCTTTTAAAGGCAAGGAAGGGCAAAAATATTTAAAGTCAAGTGATAGCGATTGCTGTATGAGTCATACGTTTTTGAATCAAGCACTGGCAACGTCGGACCATGTAGCTAGTATCTATCTAAGTCTGCTATCTAAGCCTGTTAGATAGATAAGAGACTTAGCGATCTAAGGCTGTTTGTCTATCTAAGTTTGTTTCTTTATTTCAACTATAGTCTGTTCATCTTCACTTAGTCTGTTCACTTCTATTTCACCCTCGACTGTTTTTCTTGTCTGTCTGTCTCAAGATATTTATCTGTCAGTTTCTTAATCTCTCTTATACATATTCTTTTTACGTTCAAATCACGCTGAAAGCGTCGAGGCTCGTTCTATCACCGTAGGGTATCAATGTTGACTTTGGTGATTACTTAAATAAGGAACCGCTTGGAAACACCAGTCACTGTAAATAACAGTGAAACACGACTTAAAATTCCATCTTTGGAATGCGGGTAGGACGTAGTAAAAGTTGTTGGCGCCTATATCGAAAGGCTGTTATTTCGAATCGTTTTTTGTATTCGTTTTGCGGAGAAATCACTGTCGATACCGTCTCTAAAATAATGAGCCAGTGTACCTTTTTAGTCGGAATTGTGACTGCTAATTATACCAAATTTCCTTGAATCCAATAGAAACTAATATTAGTCAATCTTACCATTCAACATTATGTTCGTTCGAGACTATGCGAGTAGAGATAGCTCTCTCTCTCTCCTTCTCTCTCACCCTCTCTCTCTTTCTCTCTATCTCCTTCCCTCTTCCACCTTCTCTTCTCTCTTCCTCTCTCTTTCTCTCTCACCCTCCCTCTTCCTCTCTCTTTCTCTCTTTCCTTTCTCTCATCCTCTCTCTCCTTCTCTCTCCCTCTCTCTTTCTCTCTCTCAACCTCTCTCTCCTTGTTTCTCTCTCTCCTCACCCTTCTCTCTCCCTCTCTCTCACCCTCTCTCTTTCTCTCTCCTCACCATCTCTCCTTCTTTCTCTTTCTCTCCCTCTCTCTCACCCTCTCTCTTTCTCAACCTCTCTCTCTCTCTTTCTCTCTCCTCACCCTCTCTCCTTCTTTCTCTTTCTCTCCCTCTCTCTTTCTCTCTCTCACCTCTCTCTCAACCTCTCTATCCCTCTTTCTCTCTCTCCTCTCTTTCCTCTCTCTTTCTCTCTCCCCTATCTTTTCCCCCACTCTATCTCTGTGGGTTCGCAAACTTGTCAGATTTAATTAATGTCCCCCATCGAATTCGAATCCTATTCCGATCAATAGTTTGCATGAAATTCCATTAGCTTTGATTGAATTCCAGTCTTGAAGCTTGGTTTGAGAGGCTGTCAAATAAAAGACGTTATCTATGACATGGACAAATGAAATATGCAAATATCTGCAACAGAGACTTTCAAAGATAGAAGAAAAGCGAAAATAAATAAAGTAAAGAGGAAAGCGTTTATTCCCTGGTGGAAGACATGAAAATCTTTGCGATGTCTTTCTGTATATAAAAGAATATCATTAATGTCTAGCAGAGTCTCACCCTTATCGGAATTATTGGCTCTGAAATGGCGTCTCAGCTTCACTGACCTTTCCCACCACTGTACAGTTCGAATATCGCTGTCAGATATGGTCCGATGTTCCTGTTGTATTTTTAGAGATTCTTGATAAAAATCCAACGAAGAAACAGCAATATTAATGGTCCTGACCTAACGTCTCGGCTTCAGTCACTTCCCAACGGCTGTTACGTAGAGTTTTTGTGCCTTTTATATAAATATTTACAAGGTAAGTATTCGGATGAGTCATTCGCTTTGTTAGCTAGACTTTATGAATTTAAGTGCAATACTAGATTGGCAACAAGGTCTTATCAATACACAGTTTACTTGGTTCGATGTGACCGCAAGTTCTATGCTAACAGTTTTTCACGCACTTCTCTCTTGTGGAACTCCCTTCCGGCTCCATGCTTTTCAGTTAACTTTGATCTTCAAAAATTTAAATGTAATGTCAGTTGTTATCTATTGTCTTTCTCATTACTCTTCTATTGTTCTCGCTCCTTAGAAATATTTGTGTTTTCCAATTTTTTCACATTCGGTCATCTCTTGAGTCTTACTGGCTTTACCGCATTGCTTTGAGTGAATTCGATTTTTTTTTAAAAAGGCTATTTTTTTATATATATTTCAAGTAGAATTAGCTTTTCAGGCAGCTATTGCCGCATGCTTATATTTTTCTTTGGATTTCATCAAGAATCTTCAAATATATAGCAGGAGCCCGGGGCCATATGTGGCAGAAATATTCGAAGCATAGACGAATTGTAGACTTAAAGATATAGGAGATAGATTCTGGAGAATGTCTGGCACAACACAGGGAGCCAACTTTCTTAGCAGCAGATCTAGTCTACGTACTTCAGGTCAGCCGAGAAGATTAAACCAAGCAGGCACAACGAATCACTCCCCTGGAGGTTAACATCATTTATGCTGATGGAAGGTAGAAACAGTTCTCTCTCTTTCTTTTTATGTGCCATGTCCTCTCAGGACGTAGGTGATCGTGGCTCTCCACCTCCTTCTATCCCTTGCAGCTCTCAGCAAGCTCCTTCCCTCTGCTTCCTCCCCCAGACCACATTCTGTTATCCACCTGCTCAAGCTCGTCAGGTATGTCACACACTGCTTTCCTTTGTCTCTCTTTCCCTCTATTCGACCCGTGAGTATCAGATTCTCCAGGCCCTCTTTCCTCATTATATATCCCAGAAACTTCAGCTGCCTCTTCCTGATATAAAGTATAAGACTTCTCCTTGTTTGTAACCTATCTAAGACCTTATCGTTGCTCACACGTTCGGGCCATGACATCCTTAGCATCCTTCTGTAGAACCACATGTCCGTCGCCTCGAGTCTCTTTCTCATCCTTAAGGAAATCATCCAAAATTCGCTGCTGTAAAGATGAACAGATGTCACGTAACAGCTCAGTATTCTTTTCTTTGTTACCAAAGAAATCCTACTGTCTCGTAATACTCTGCTCAGCTTTTGAAATGTGTCCTTGGCCATAACAATATATCTATGTGTCACTGATGATTAATCAAGAACAGTGTTTTAGAGGCGTTAAAATTAACAAGCCATTCTTTACTCCAGTATGCAACAGACTGTAGGTAATTTTGCAAGTCTCTTAAATTTCATAATTTTTTCTTGTATTGATGGGGATTTCCTTCTAAACCTTTTGTTTGTGATAGTGTGGAAAAATAACCGCTTGTTTCCTTCTAACTAGATGCGACACTCATTGTTTTTGTTGCTGCTATTGTGAATTTTGATATTTGGTAAAACCCTTTGTGAATTTGCATTGTCAGTTTTTAGGGCTTGATGAAGGATCATTTTTATAAGGATTTTGAGAGTTTATTTGTTTGAAGCAATAAAAGGATAACATCGACAAAAAAATTGACGTATACTAATATTAATTTATCCCCAAAGAAAACAAAAAGAGTCATAAGAACCTAAAAAGGTTAATGGTTATCTTTACTGCAAATACTGCAAAACTACTCTGAAAATGATCATGTCAAAAAACGCAACAGGCTTTTCCAAACTAATACATACCAATATTTACATTGTTCGGACTATCATCCTCATCTTTATTGCCATATTTATCACAACGGTTAATTCTCTTCTCCAAGTTCTCCATCGCTTTAACCAGGTATTGAACTCATACTCTTTGGGCCTTGTCTTAGTTAGATTCAGTGACAGGACCCAAAGAGTTGTGATTTCAATACCTGGTTAAGGCGGTGGAGAAGTCGGAGAGGGGAATTAACAGGAGATAACTGATAACTGACATCCATTAGACATGGCACGTGAAACTTAAACAGTCTACCCCAGCGAGCAAAATAAAGGGTTCAGTTTGAGATTCCAACCACCTGAAGAAAGCCGGAGCGTACAACGGCCGAAACATAGTGATAAATATGGCGACAAAGATGAGGACAATAGTCCTAATAATGTAAATAGTGTACATAATACCTCATCTCAGAAATATAGACAGATACTGAAAAAAATTGGATTTACTCTATTTTTAAGTTAAGTTGATGGTGTTAGGGAATTATAAAAATATTTTAAAATAAAAATCTAAAGATATTTTAAAAATAAAATAAATGCTCAAGAATTCTGGATTATAAATCTTACTGTTCTGTCCAATTATTTGAATATATATATATATATATATATATATATATATATATATATATATATATAAAATAAAGAGGTTGTAGTGGTTCCAACGAGAGAAAAGTGTATTAAAAAGAAGAGAAGAGAGATGCCGCAAACGTTTTTGGTTGTAATGTGGATTTTTTTTTTTTAAAATATTATATTTTATTTTCCATAATTTTACTACATGTGTTTCTGGTCTCGCGGCCGTCTTTCAGGTAAAAGCGGAGATTTCTACATATTATTAAAAATAATTAATTTTTTCCTTATGTTTTTCAATGTTAAATATTCTCGATATGAGATATTTCTGTTTTGTGTTAGTAATCCTTATAAAAAATGATCCTTCATCAATCCGGATTTGCGGCACCTCTCCTCTCTTCTTTTTAATATATATATATATATATATATATATATATATATATATATATATATATATATTGCTGGAAAAAAGATTCATCCTTAAATAGATTAATGACTTAGTGCTAGTTTGTAATCATAGGAAGAGATTTCTCTTAAAATATTTTAATTCTGAATAAATATATTATCCAAATTAGGCTTTTACTTCCCATATTATAAGTTATGTTTTTTTAAGCCACTTTAACCATTTTAATATCTAGTATAATTTAACATGTCAACCAAAGTTCCTCTTTTAAACTTTAAATATCCTTTTTTTAAAAATTATTTTTGCTATTGTTATATACCATGAACACTAATGGGTATGTCCCAACGCTCATAAATAAATAAAGATGAGGATGATAGTCCGAACAATGTCAATAGTGTACATTCTTTCACTCTCGGTCATCTCAGAAATATAGACAGATATTAATACATTCCAAGCGAATAGAAAATCTGTTCCGAAGTCTCAAATTGCTGATTTTGATTGTCAGTTGTTTCGATTTATTTATATTATTTACTCATCTCTGTTGGTATCATCTCAGTGTTTCATCCGCTGAGTCATCCGGCTCTCATCAGGTATTTATCCATCAGGGAATATCGAACTTAACACTTTATTAAATCTATGTTGACAGACTCTTCCCAATCCGCTGTCCGTCTCTAGGGATATCTCGTCTTGTACTCTTTTTAATAGTGTTCAATCAATTGTAGAATGTCATTAGCCATTTAATCCCAAGGAAAGCAATAAATACACTAAAACTCAAGGCTTTACTGATTGTGATAGAATATGAGTAAATGATAACATTGTTAATGGCAGGGAAAAATAAAATAACAGGCATTAAGACAGAATACAACGATCGGAGGCACGATAGTGGTTCGAATTGGGGAACCGGAGAACCGAGTTCGAATTCCAGTCGAGTTCATTACATTCACTTCACTCGTCCGGGGTATAACGATAAACCACATCCGCGTCCTGGGTAAGACGATATAAACTACGTCCAACAGCAAGGCCTCTGATCGTGAGGTTTTGAGGAGTGTGGAATCACCTCTTAATTGCTGGTGTTCCCAGGTCCACCTTGGCCCGGGGTGGTAACACCTGTTAGGGTCCTAGCTATAGCCAAATAGTTAACACTAAGACTACATCCGCGTCCTGGGTATGACGATAAACTACAGCCGCGTCCGGAGTAAGACGATAAATTACATCCGCGTCCTGGGTATGACGATAAACTACGTCCAACAGCAAGGCCTCTGATAATACATTTTTTCAAAAAATGAAAAACAATATTACCAGCTATACGTTTTTGAAAAAATAATGTTGCCAGCTGTACCTTTTTGAAAAAATAATATTACTAGCTATAAATTTTTGAAAAAAAATAATATTTCCAGATATACATTTTTGAAGAAAAAATATTAACCGAAATAGATTTTTAACAAAACAAAAATATTACCAGGAAAAACAAAGTTGTCGGCATTAAATGACCCATTGAGGTTAATATGCCGTAAAATAAACCATACCAAACCAAACATTCACTTTACGTGCTAATACCCTCGGGAGGCGTATGAATCGATCTCTTCCCCACCAACTAATGGGTAAATAGCAGCACAAACTAGGCCTTATAGTCTTGGTTGGTAACCGGTCTAAGAAAA